TTTGCAGCTGCCGCACAAAATTTCAGCATTCGTAGAATTCGGAGCAATCCTTTTTATATATGTTTTTTTTTTTTGTTTTTCTTTATTATTATTATTATTTTTTGTTGGTTTTTTTTTTTTTGGCATCCGGACTATTCGGCTGTGCTTAATGAGCCCGTTTTGGAAATGGTATTCTCGTGTTAAAACATTGATTCGATTGGCGCTCTTAAAAGGTGTCGCCGGCCCATAAAATAAAGCCAACCTTTGCCTTTGCCTTGCTACTTTTTTATTTTTGTATTTTAGTATTCCTTCTGACTGGCTGAATTGGCCATAAAAGTTTCGCCCAAAAAATCAAAAGGCGCCGTATCCTTTTTTGTTAATTAACGCATACGTTTTTTTTTTTTTTGGTTGTTGTTGTTTCCCGAGATCTGGCTAAATTTCCAGCTGCTGCCAAATTGTGCGATCAGCTTGTCAACTTTTATGGGGCTTATGCTTTAATTTTAATTGTAATGCCCGTTTAGCAGCAGCAGCAGCAGCAGCCCGACCCAAAATGGTTGCCCAATTCATTAACATACACATACGCAGTGACCCATATACAGGTGTCTGCGTGAGTGTGTGCGAGTGTGTGTGTGTGTCCGTTCAAAAGTTCTGCTCGTTTCCTCTTCGTTTTCAGTTTTCACAGTCCCACGTTGAGCTGTTTCACACAGCTGCCCGTGTGAAAAGCATTTCAACGATTTTCAGAATGCTCCAAATGTGCAACGACTGAGAATTTTCGGCAAATGAAATGCCCGAAAGGTCAGGCTAAACGATACCCTGTACTTGGACAAAAATACACCAATATGCATGTGACAATATAAAGAAATGTATGTTAAAGAAAGCCTCGATTAGCTCAAGCTTATATCCATAAAATGAATGAATCCCATTTTGTGATCCTAGCATACTCTGCTGTGGTTGAGAACTCCTAATAAAAAGATAATACTTCATTGTGAGGTATACCTCACGCCTTTGTGCTGGTAACAATACCTACAAATCGCAGCGCAAGAGTGTTTTTAATAAAGTTCTCATTCTCACATTATTCGTCACGCCGAACGGCCGCGCCTGCGCGCCCACATTCCGTTCCAGAGCGGGCAGCGTGCGTGTTTTTGATTCCCAGTCCCAGTCTCGGTCTCATTAGCGGATGGCCAGCAATTTAACCCCTCCCACCCAACCAGGCTGGCTTGGCCGGCGACAGTTCACATGTCGGCGATGAGCTCACCCTGGCCCTCGATGCCGTTGCGTTCCCAGGCGCGTTCCCAACAACTGCACAAGTTCTCGTGTGATTTTTCGTATCGCTGTGAAGCGACTGCAAATCGTGGGTCCTCGAATCTCACCCTTAATACGCGACTGAAGCGCGGCCTGCACCTGAGCGTGCAACAAAACTGGGGGTTGGTTTGTTGTTGGTGACGCGTGCCGCGTGTGGGAAACGCAATTTGTTATTGTTTATCGCTGGATGTTTATTGTGGCTTGTTTACACAGATTGCAGACAACTTGAGCTGCACTGCGTCCAGCTGGCTAGCTGTGAGCTAGCTGCCAATACAAATTGGAAATTTCTCATTAAGTTTGCAATCAATTCTACAACCTGGTAGCATCGCCATTGACCTCTGGCCAAACGGCCGTTTGGAGCGAAGAAAATGTAGACCCACAATTGCAGTGTGCGGCCAGTTTTATGGCTGCTGATGGGCGCCTTATGAGCGGTTGCGCAGTCGTGCCACAAGGGTTCTACGGACCAGGCCCGGCCATCAAATTGCCCATCATCATTGGCTGCAGTTGAAATGAGTTTGTTGCCTAAGTCTTTCGCTTTTTGGGTTCTGCATTGCATTCCAAATCGCGCATAAAACGAATTTATTTTTATATACGTAATACGTTAAGTTGAGCAAACAACATCATCATCAGTGCAACAGCAGCAACAACACAAACTACAAAAACAGCAACAACAGCAACAACAACAACAACAGCAACAACTTGCGATAAAAGATTTTTGTTTCTTGATTTCGTTGCACCAAAAAAGGCAACGGCAACTCCCATTAAACGTCCCAAAAAGGCAAAAGTTTGCTATCGTTGTTGTTGCTGCTGCATTGTTATTGTTGCTGCTGTTGTTGTTTTTGTTGTTGATGCTGTTGTTGCTGCTGCTGATGTTGTTGTTATTGTTTTCTTTGTTAACTGGCGCCCACCACGTTGAGAGCGAGGCGGCGGCCACCGGCGCAGTCGCTTGTATGCATTTCATTTTGTGGCGCCACGCCCAGGCAACAACTGCCACATGCAACGCCCACCAACCAGCCAGCCAGCCAGCCAGCACCAACAGTCTCTGTGCCATATTCCCAGATTTGTTTAGGCCATTTTGATACGCAGCCCAAGTGCAACCAGCAGCGTCATTAAAGCAGCTGCATTTAATTTCAATGCCCATTTAAGGCTGAAAACTTTGCCATGTGTTGTTGCTGTTGTTGTTCTTGTTGTTGTTGTTGCTGATCTCAAGGGCTCACTTTTCCCCCAAGCACAGAGTCAGCCCCAACCTCAGCCTAGCAGCTGCGCAGCTCAACGCATTTTTTACAACATTTTTGCCGCGACTAGTTGCCGCACCAGCCCAGTCCTAGCCCTAGTCCTAGTCCCAGTTCCAGTCCCAGTCTAAAACACGTGCAACTAGAGAGAAGCTTCGCCCTGTTTTGGCCCCTTGTTCGCCTGCTGCAGTTGTAGCTGTTGTTGTATCAATTAAAGCTGCGCTTGATTTTCACATGCGTAGGACGACAGGTGCAAAATGCTACAACGGCTTAGACCCAGCCCCAGTCCTGCACTGAGACAGCTCTTACAGCTACAACTACAGCACCCAGTCACAGTGATTTGAATTTTTCCATGCGGTTGGGCCAGCAAAATTACAAGTTAACTGGCAAACCAGGCGGCATTAAGACAGGCACAGGTGCAGTGGCAACAGCTGCTCAAATCATTTGCAAACGCGTTAAGTGCATCACCGGATGGGCGGCAGCCCGCTTGAGGAACGGGTGGCCAACACAGCTGCTACATCTACAACACACACACACACACACAGACACACACACGCGCGCGCGCACATATCGCTAATTAAGATTTTTCATTTCGCTTTTTATTAGAGGCCAGGATTTCACAGAAGTTAACGTACAACTTGAAAACTGTGACATCTGCAACAAATTTGTTGACAGCTTAATAAGTTCTTTGGTTTAGAAAATTTTCGTCATGCATTTATAGTCGAAAAGCATTAAGATCATGGACAAGCTTTACAATAAGACTTTTCCTCTTTTATAAAATATTAACAAATAGTTTCAGTTATGCACAATACAAACGGCAGTCAGAGTATGTTTACAAATAGTTATCCACAGTAGAGCGAGATTCGCCGCGATTAACACGTAAATTTCCCATGCAGCCCTCGAATAGGATGTCCGCGATGGCTTTTCGCGCCAGAATACGCTGTGTCGGTGCCATTTCCTCATACTGTATAGCCCAGGATTTGGCAAGTGTTTCGGAGGCTTCGCTTAAAGGTACATTTGACTGCTGGGACCCGGAGCTCTTCATAACAGTCAATGTGGTTGATGTAGAGCTGGCTGGCTCATTGAATTCTGAAGCGCTGGTATCGGCATTATCAGCCTTGACGGCATCATTTGGCACTATTCCCTCGGTATCCATTGCATCCAGCTCATTTTCAAATATTTCGATCTTCGGGCTGAGCAGCAAGCTTTCGGTAAACTCTGCTGCTGTCGTATCGGAGCTGTTTGTTAATTTTGGTAAAGCTGTTATTGTCGAGCCTGTGTCCAATGGATCCATCATAGCCTTCATAAGATGACGGGTCAGTTGGGTAACACACATATAAATCGTAATGTAAACTTACATCGAATCTAAAGTCGGACATTGACTTTCCTTTAACGCCGGGCTTACAGCGCGTTTTCCTGGCTCTACGCTGGAAAGACTCTTGGGTGAGCAGAAAACTCATGTTATCGTAGAACCATAATACGGGCTTGCACAATTCAGAATGCAGTCCCAAATCCTGCTGTCTCCAAATGCGCATCTGTTCTCGTCTATAGTTTGTACGAAAAATGTTGATGCGACGTCCAACATCTGTCTTCGATGCATTTGGCTGAATCACTTTTAACTTATTATGTAGAATATCGTATGATTGGTTCCTTAATTCTTTGTTTCTATAATCCGGATGGCGCACATCCCAAAGCTCCGGCATTTCCTCATAGAGTTTCAAAAACTCGCGCCAAAACTGTCGCTTATTAGCAATGAAACGATCTAGCAACCCTGACATTGCGTGCAGCCAACTTCACGTTATGTGGTATAACAGAGCTCTGTTATTTAACAGAGATTCAAGTTTTGCGCAAACTATAAAGTTTATAATATTAATATGATAAAACACACAGAGCATGTATACTTTGTTTGGAATTTTCCTTATTTACTTACTCCTTAATGTTTTATATACGTATTTTATGTATTTATGCATATATACATGCTTGGACGACCTACTCGTGGCAACGCCAATCACAGACTGACGACGACGGTGGATGTGTGCCTGTGTGAGCGTTGCTTGCTGTCGATTGATTGATTGATTAGTTTCGTGTCTGTGTGTCAAAATGTATGTGTGCGTTACTTTGCTTTCGCGTTTGTTTTCGTGTGTATGTATATTTGTTTGCGTGTAGGTAAAGTCTCCATCAATCAACAGACGTTCGTAAATATGCATTAGTGTGTATATGTACATTGACGCGTACATATGTATTAGGGTACATGTATGATATATGCATATATATTGCACGAATATAAATATATTAAATAATTAACCGAATTATATTTTATATGGAAGGTTTGGTTTTTTGAATTGTTAAGGAAATTCACTTGTCATAACCAATAACACCCTGTGCCGCAAGGCCCAGTCGCCAGTTAAAACACACATATACATACATATGCATATATATATATATATAGTTATGTATGAAGAATGCAAGGCGAGAATGTGTTGGTGAGCAGCAGTTACATGCGGCGCGGAGAGCAGCAGCCCGCCCAGGTTAAGTCTGCAGCTAAGGGCAGACATGCGCACTAGGAAATAAACAAAAGGTTGATTTGAATGGCATTTAATGCCGGCTATGAATTAGCACGCACTAACTTGGCACATCAAACAAACCCAGTTGCACTTAAGTACATCAGGCTAAGCCAGTTGTATATCTTATTGTAATCTTAGCATGCATGAGTAATGTACAATGTTTTTTTTTGCTTATTAATGTACTTATTAAAATCCATATGCATATATACACATCGTATATGTATGTACGTACACATGTATATTTAATCACTGTGCAAATGGAATAACTGCTAATTAACATTTTTATTTTGGCAAATTATTTACCATGTCACCCTGTGTGCGGTAGTTGCGTGCATTGCCACCCACCGCACAGTCACACACACACACACACACACACACACACACGCACACAACGGCGCAGTGAGAGAACGCCAGAGAGTGGCAACCTCGTCGTCGACGGCAACAGCGACGGCCACCAACTAAGGGCAGACATGCGCACTAGGAGACAGCACATATATTTGAACTTATTTTAATGTGGCCCAGGCACACGCACAGTTGCATGAGGAGGAGGAGGAGGAGCTGGCAGACCGACAGACAGACACAATACACATGAGCTGGGCGAAGTGTGTGTTTAGGTGCTACATTTGGTTTGTTGTATTTGGTAAAATTACAATTTATAAATATACAAGTATTCTATGATTGCATCCAATTGCATCTTCGAGATGTGCTACAAGCTAGACATGCTATCCGTACACTTATACTATTCCAGCTCCCGCATGACTTCGTCGGCGCGCGTTATTAATTCAATCAGTCGAGAGTTTTTCTGCGACATGGCAAACTCCTCCAATAGCTTCAGGTACTTGCGCGCCTCGGCGCTGCCGATTATCGATTGACCGCTGCCCGCATTGTTGTTGTCGTCGGGCTGCCGCGGACGCTTTGGCGGCGGCGTCTGTGCTGGCGCCTTGGTTAGCGTGGGCATGGGCGGCAATGTGATCATGGGTATGGCCAGATCTTGGGCTGGACTGCGACTGCGTTTTCGCTGGCGCAGAGCGCGTGTCTGCTCAATGTACTGCTTCTCATCGTCCACATTGGCGGCCAGAATTTCGGCCAACGAGGTAACGCTGGAACGGCCGCCATTCTCGTCATCATCATCCCCCAGGTATTCGCCATCGCTGTCCAGTTCCTCCTTGATGTGCAACGCTGTCTGCTCATCGGCTAGCTTCTCCTTGGCGCTTTCCTCCGTCTGCTGTTGCGCTTCCTGCTGCAGCTCTTCCGGGTCTTTGGGCTCCGTTTTGATCTCCTGCTTAATATCCAATATGGGCGGTGGCATTACCTTCGCTTGCACTGCCGGTCGCTGTGTGATGCTCTGCGCCAGCGTGGCCAGCGGTATGATGGTCATTGTTTGGGCACCGCCAGCCGCTGCACCAGGTGGCAGAATAGGCGTTGCCAGCAGCACCTTTTGCGAGGTGCCCGGCGGCACCTGTGGCAACCGCACCAATTGCGGCAGAGGCTGCAGAACGCGCGCATTGAGCTCGCTGAGCGAGGGCTTTACATCTAGATGCTGATCCACCTCGGGATCGCTGATGTCGCCGCGTCCATCGATATCGACGTCAGCATCATCTTCGTCCACATGACTGCTGCCGCTGATGGTGGCCAAACTGATGTCCTCCTCGTCGTCATCCTCCTCCACAGGGTCAGCTGCAGGTGCTGCAGCTGCTGCTGGCGTGCACTGGGACATGACGTCCTTGGCAATATCATTGATCTGCACCGAATAGCTTTGCGTGTAGCCAATCTTCAGCAGCTTTGTGTCGTTGTGCTGAATGTTGTAGGTGGTGCGGAATTTGTCGCACCACTCCTGATGCGGAAAGAAGTTGGTCAATCCCATCGAGCTCTTGAATTGCAGCGCCATTTTCTGTATCAGACCGTCCGATATGATGAAGTCCTTGTAGTACATCATGCGCCGTATCCAGTCGTATACGGCTTTGCCCAGCATGGACACTCGCACCACCTTCAGCTCCTGCGTCTTGGCATCCTGGCTGCGCCTCGTCCGCTGCTCCCAGGCGCGCAATATCTCATCCTTTTGCTGTACAATGCGCTTTATCTGATCCGGACTGCAATTGAACAGGCGGCCCACGTGCTTGTACACCGGCTGGCGATCGTATTCGCGCAGAGCTGCCACCTTTTCGTTTAGGGCTAACACATTTTTGCGCTTGATGCGATTGTCGAACGCAACCTTCTCAGTTGCAGGTAATGTGGGCGGCTGCTGTGTTGTTGTTGCCGTTGTGTTTGTTGTTGTTGTTGTTGTAGTTGTTGCTGCTGTTGTTGTTTTGCTAGATGTTTCGGGCTTTGGCTCGGCATCGGCTGGCTGCAATGGTGAAATCATGAACAGTGCTGGGAGCGCACAAGCAAAAACAATTGTTTACCTTTTGTTTATCACTGCTTTTTGGAGCCTTTTGCTCCTTTTGCTGCTTGCGTTTGTCGCGCACACGCATTGCTCTAATCACGGTTGTTTTATTCCTTGTAAATTTATTAAAATTACGCCTTGGGCATAACAGAGAAATGTTATTGCTTGCTGTTGTTCTTTGTATTATTGTTTGTTTGTTGCGCTAACTCACCCTGTGCCCTGCGCCAAGTTCCCCTAGCTCTCTCTCTTACACACGACCCTGTTATGCGCACACATACATATAGCACCTGTGCGTGAGTGTGTGTGTGTGTGAGTGCGTACGTGTGCGATGGCTACGATTATGCGCGTTGACAGCAACTAAACGTCGCCCGTTCTTGATTTTTGTTTTTCTTTCTTTTGTCTCTCTTTTTGCGCTTTTAGTGCACTTTTAGTTACATTTTTTTTGCAGTTCACTTTAAATATTTTGTTATTGCTATTACAATGCGCAGCACACGCATACGCACACGTGTGCGATTGCTTTCAATTTTTCCCGACTAGAACAGCGTATATATAAAAATAGCTGCCCACCCGCTGCCAGCGGCTGCCGTTTTCATTCTGGTTTCCTATGTTTCTGTGAGCGCGAATGCGCATTGAGAGCACTTTTCTGCGCCGGCGGAGAGCTTCGTGATAAGCCCAAGCAGCGCGCAACTTTAACTTGTGTGTGTGTGTGTGTGAGTGCGAGAACATCAGATAATGGCAGCGCACACACACACACAGTCACACATTTGTAAGGCCGTTTCACGGAGAGAGGGTTGTTATTTTTTTATTTCACTTCCAACTGCTCTCTTCTTCAACTGCGCATGCGAGAACTTTATAGATGGCAGCACGAACTTCAGATACATTCGACTCAACTTGATTGGGTTTAAAATTTGATCGTAGCGCGGCGCATTTTCGCAAAAAATATGCATATATATCTATTTATGCAAATGCACACTAATCTATAGTTTTCAGACATAATTCATATTAATTGAATGCCTAGTTTTATATTAATCTTTGCTTTATTTCTCGTACATTTTTGGCTATTTTTCCTGTTAGCCAAAGTTTGTGTAGTGCTGCAGAATATATGACATGGCTGCGGGATTGTCAGCAGGCACCATATGTCCGGCCCGGTTCACCCAGAACATGCTGAAATTGCCGGCTGTCTTCTCGTAGCCCTCCAGCACGCGATCCACATTGATGCCCACGCGAGGATTCTGCAAATAGCTATTCTTGTCGTTCCACACCATGTTGGCAATCCAATTGACGGCGCCGGGTGTGGCGCATATCAAGTCCAGGCCACCCGAAAAGACGCCCACCTTCACCGTAGAGTTGTTCAGCAGCTCCTCAACTAAACATACACACAATAGGAATTAATTCCTTAATGGAACATTTAAAAAACCGTACCAATATGTACAGCTGGCTTCATAAAGTCGCCCATCAGCTTGCTGAAGGTTGTGCTGCTCTGGGCGCCCCAATTAATGCCTGTGGTGATGTTGAGCGCAGTTGTTACGGGTCCCCGCATCAGCTCCTCGAGCAGTTGATCGCGATCCTCATCAATGTCAAAGTGCACCAGAGTGCGGTACATGCGCTCTGGAATGGTATCTTCAGGAACTTGCACTGAAAGTGGCCAATTGACACTCACCTTCCGAACTCATGCTGCTCAGCTGCCTCAAGTACTGGTCACCGCGTGTGGGCTTCTCCACATTGTAGAAATCGACGCCCTTTGATTCGCGCAGCACCACCGACTGCGTGGAGCTCCATTGCAGTGTGGCCTGTGTCCATTTCCCGTCGTCGACATTCTGTTTGGTCTTCAATGCCGAAGCTTCGATCTTGTCGTGACCGTCCTGGTCAACAATGCCCAGTTGCAGCAGGAACGGCGCCCACGCAAGTACTGAGTCAATGGGCGATGTCCAGGGATCACCCAAGGCCACCGACTGCAGGTTGCTCTCGATCTCGCCGCGCTGTATCGAGTAGTACAGCTCCAGGGCAAACTCGGGCGCCATTTTGCCACCGTAGCTCTCACAGAAGATGTGCAAAGGTACTTTCTTAAATTCCGGATGCAGCGCATAGAAGCCCTTCATGAACTCCACCAGATCCAAAGCGATCTGCTTGTTGGTCGTGGTGTAATAGGAGGAGCCATCCACATAGCTAAAGCCACTGCCCACGGGATTGTCAATAAATATGACATTCATGTCCTTGACCCAGGTCCACTCCCGATAGCTGCCATCCAGATGCAAGGGTCCCAGCTCCTCAAAGTTGCCATAGCCCGTCGACGAGGCACCCGGTCCTCCCTGCAGCCAAATGGCCAAGGGACGTTCCGTGTAGCTGGACACATTGGCGCTGGTGTAGTAGAGCCAGTAGAACATGTGGGCGCCCGTGCGCACATCCACAAAGCCCCAGTCCTGCTCGCCAGGACCATAGCCAGCGCGGGCTGTGCAGAGACAAGTGTAATAGACATTGATTGGATCAGGCTGATTTGAGGAGTTGAGTATAAGGTTCTTGAGTATTCCCTTTATGTATTGATAGCAGCAGGTGTGATAAGATAACTATCTTAGCACCACAACAAAGTTAAAGATGTTCAGCTCGATTAACGCGTTTCTATTTAGCCATTTATTGTGCCACTAAATTTCTATTATTAGCACCTGAATGGCATTTAAATTGGGTTCAAACACAGTTGGTTGTCTGCCAAATTGAGGTCAGTTTGTTAACAGAGTTCCACTTACCGCTCACCGCACCGAAGCCGCAGACCCCTAAGAGCACCACAAAGCTGATTAGGAGACGACACATTTTGCACTAGTTGGAGCACCTCAAGCCAAGTCGACCGTACAGCTGGGAGTGCGGCGACCGTCTGATCGCTGGTCAAATTCAGCGACAGCCAAGTAAGCGTGTGGCGCACATATGGAATTTGTAATCTTGGAGTGGGAGCGGCGCCTGATCCCAGTGATCGACATTGTCAACGTTTCTTTACGACTGTGATGGGCTTTACGCGTGATACGCTTGGACATTTATTTATGGCCCTTTTTGTTTAGTTTTTTTTTTTGTTTTTTGCCCATACTTACCTTGTCACTTTCATAAATTTTCGCTAGTTCTTAATTAATAGTCGCGATTGCGCTCGCTTATCGCAGCCCTCTTTCAATACGTTTGCTTTTTTGATTTGATTTCTGAAGAGCTTGTCAAATTTCAATTGGCTTTAAGGAGTGTGAGCGCTGCATTTTATTGGCTGCATTCTACAAATTGTAAGTCTATCCAAAGCCCGTAAACTCGCGCAAGACATGGCTCATGGCGGCGGGATTGTCGGCTGGCGCCATATGCCCGGATCGGTTTATCCAGAACATGGTAAAGTTGCCGCCCGATTTCTCGTAGCCTTCCAAAACGCGATCCACGCTGATTGCAACGCGAGGCGCCGCCAAGTACTCCTGCCTTCTGCTCCAGTTCATCTTGTCTATCCAGTTAACGGTGCCGGGCGTGGCACAGATCAGATCCAGTCCGCCCGAGAAGACGCCCACTTTCAGCGGCGTTTTGTCCAGCAGTTCGTCAACTGCATTAACCAAGGATTAACTATATGCATATGAAGGCAGTTCCAACCTAAGGTTTACCAATGTGTATTACGGGCTTCATGAAATCAGTTCTATGAATATCAAAGGTGCTGCCACTCTGCGATCCCCACTTGACTTCGGATGGTATGCCCAGGGTTTCGGCTACGGGTCCGCGCATAAGTGTCTCCAGTAACGCATCCCGATCCTCATCAATGTCGTACTTTACCACGGTACGGTACATGCGCTCTGTAATACATTTAGCTATATGGAGTCCAACTGAAGATTGAAGCACTTTTCAAATTTACCCTCGGGCGTCCGCATGAGCTGCCTTTGATAGCGATCACCGCGCGTTTCCTTCAGCACATTGTAGAAATCCACGCCCTTTGACGCCTTCATTACCTCCCACTGAGTGTTGCCCCACTGAGCTGTCGACTGTATCCAACGCTCCTCCGCCACCAGTTCGGCTGTAAAGTTGGCAGCCTTCGCTATGGCATCGTAGCCATCATGATCAACGATGCCCATCTGCAGCAGAAGTGGTCCCCATGCGAGAACCGAGTCGATGGGCGATGTCCACGGATCACCCAGGGCCACGGACACCAAATTGCTCCTAATCTCGCCTCTTTCCTTGGCATAGTACAGCTCCAGTGCGAACTCGGGTGCCATTTTTCCGCCGTAGCTTTCGCAAAAGATATGCAGAGGCACAGACTCAAATTCCGGATGTAGAGCATAGAATCCCTTCATTAACTCCACTAGATCCAGGGCAATTTCCTTGTTTGTAGCCGTATAATAGGCCGTATCGTCCACATAGCTAAAGCCGCTGCCTACAGGATTATCAATAAAAAGCACGTTCATGTCCTTCACCCAAGTCCAGTTGCGATAATCGCCGTAAAGATCAACGGGTCCAAGCTCCTCAAAGTTGCCATAGCCCGTCGAAGAGGCGCCAGGTCCACCTTGCAACCAAATTGCCAACGGACGTTCCGTGTAGCTGGATACACTGGCAGTGGTATAATAGAGCCAGTAGAACATGTGGGCGCCTGGCCTCACATCTACATAGCCCCAGTCCTGTTCGCCGGGTCCGTAACCCGCCTTGCCTGTATAATTGTGTGTATAGGTCAGACCAGGATTTGTAATCTACGGATTTATATTTCAACTTGCCATGTGCCAAGGTTGCGTAACACGCCAGAAATAATGCGATCGTACGAATTGCAGCAGACATCTTCCGTTGAAGCCAGCAGCTAACTGTGCTTTGGCTGCCGCCACCTCGACCAGCTCCATTTTAACGGAATAGCTTATCAGATGTCAAAGGCGCGATATTGTTAAGCGATTATTTATCATCGATCACTTAATCGTGAAATCGTTATCGATTTATTGTCACCAGGTGTAAAACTAAATGGCAACGTTTTACCAGAACAATCTGATTAACTTTGCATCAATCACTTCACTAGCTTAAAATCTGCGATATTACGTACTACACTTTATTTGACATTATTCATGTCCTCTACACAAGTCCTGTTCGCCGGGTCCGTAACGGGACTTGCCTGCATAGAGGTGTTTGAAAATCTTGCACTTAACGGTATCCAATTTAACTTCCTTTGTAACACGTCTACAATAATAATAGCTAAAGAATTGCAAAGGCCATATACTGCTTAAGCCAACAGCCAATTGTGCTTTGCCTACTGACTCTAATGGGCGCTGCTAATCAGCAGCAAATACGTTAAAAAGCGGTTATTTAGCACTGCACTTATTAATCGAGTTATCGTAATTGTTATCGAATTCGTAAGTACCGGCCAAGAACTTAGTGGCAACGCCATTGCAACAGCTGTTTGGGCTGTGTGTTGTTATATTTCTTTGTGTCTAGCAGGTGTGGGTGGGAATTAATTTAATTATATTACTTAAGAAAACAAAGCTGTGCTCAAAGCGTCATGGCAACGGTTCGCATACCCAAGCAAAAGGTCATACTTTGCGGTGACTATGGTGTGGGCAAGAGCTCCCTGTTCCGACGCTTCACAAACAACACATTTGTCACCGAAACAGACCGCAAATCGACGCTGGGCCTGGATCACATTGACCGCGAGTACAATGTAGGCGAGAAGCAAATTAAGGTTAGTCAACTTGTGCTGTAGTTGCAGATTAATACAGAAGTGAATAATCAATTTCTTGGACAGCTGCAACTGTGGGACACTGGCGGCATGGAACGCGTCGCATCTGTGACTTCGTCCTATTACAAATTTGCAGAGGGTGCTATTCTGGTATTTGCCTTGGACAATGCTGCATCATTCCATTCGCTGTCGCAGCACTTGCTAGACATTGTAACGTATGCAGAGAACGCTAAAATATTCATATGCGGCAATAAGAGCGACCTCGAAGGCCGTGAGCCGGAAGTTAGCGACGAGGAAGTCGAAGCATTTTGTGAGCAGTGCCATACGCTGATAAGCGCTACCTACAAGACATCCTGTCGCACGGGCAAGGGCATTGAGGAAATGTTCCAGGATATCTCACGTCAGTTGGTGCAGGCCAATCGTTCCAAAATGGAGCTGCAGGCACTCGAGCAACAGAGTTTTCAAATAGACAAGGTCAACGAGACAGAGATTAACGAGGAGGCCTCCTCGTGCAGCTGCTAGCAGTTGGGAAACATTGAGTTTGGCTAATTCGTTGGCGCTCTCGGCTGAACTCAATGTAACGCAGCAATGCATTTGTTTAATTTGCTTAATTTATTGATACAAACACTTGTATTACTTACGAATGTTTCGATTATTTTATTATTTGTAAATATTCACTTCGAATTTAAAGCTAAAACGTCCGAATATGTTATAGTTATTTTGATATAGTTAATATGTATGCGCCCAGTCGCGAAAACCAACGAACAACGTTCTATTTAAATACATTAACACTCATATGTATGAATAGGGCATAAGTCATAGTTAATTAAGCTTTGTAGACAAGTAGGGCTTGTGCTAGCCGTTAGAGTTTAGAGTTTCTTCAATATACATATAAATTAACTCGCGATGGAAATTAATGAAAACTAATAATAAATAAACAATTATCTCAACAAGGAATGCGCCAACGTTTTTTATAATCCAAAATCGTATTAGTGAGCTCCTCAAGCCCGTAACTATGACGTGGCCGCGGAGGAGCTGGGGGCAAATGTTAAATAGAGGCTCACGCCGACAGCAACCACAAAGCAAACGCCCACGCCGTACAGCACGACCTTTTCGCGCAATGCGCGCAGCATCATTGTGTTGAGGGTGCGGGAGGCGCGTCCTATGTCGGCGTTCGTTTCCCTTAGTCGAGCGCGTGCGCCTTGCAGCGTTTCGCGCTGATGATGCAAATCTGTACGAAAAGTTTGTCAAGATTACGGGCGCTATAAGCAAAACTGATGTCCAGTTGGATTACCATTCAAGACTTGTGCGCCGAGAGCTTCCGTTTCCACAGCCACGCGATAGCCTTCCGTCAAGCGATTGCCAGTGCGTTCAATGCGCTCGGAATTGTCCAGCAATCGTTGCCTTTGATCATTGCTAATGCCTACATCCTCGTAGTAACTCCCACTGTCACTTAGATCGAGCGTGGTAAACCCATTTGCCTGTGCCCGCAACTTCTCCTTTGTTTGTTTGTACTCCACTTGCAGGCGCTTCAGTTCCGCCTGTGCCACTTGCAGTTTGCCATTGAAGCTGCTGCGCTGTGCTGCATTTAGCTCTCGCACCTCCAGGCCCATCTGTTCGAGCAGCTCCTGTGCCTCTGACAGGCTGGCATCGATTTTGTTGCACAGTTCGCTGCGTTCGGCTGCGAGTCGTTCGCTTATCAAATTGCTTGAGAAAATATGTTCATGGCCTGTACTCACATGCATTTTGCTGTAGCCGACCAATATGTGCAGTTATTTCAGCGATGAGTGCTGCGTACTGCTGCTCATATTGCTCAAGGAGTGACATCTGTTACTTTTTTTAGTTTACAATTAGTTTCGTGTTGATTTGCAAAAATCTGCCATTTATTTAACTACCTGCTGTTTTGTTTATCATTTCACTCAGCAAATGCCATTCGCAGCGAAACGCAGCAGTGTTGTAAAATGTACGCACGGCGTTGCCAGACTTGAGCGTCCTCACTTACCGTTGTTTCGAATTTAAAGTGGTAGTGAAAATACGTTTTTCCTTAAATAAATTAATGTTTTATTGTAATCTCATCGGGTACCGCTTGTTTGCAAACGAATGGCGACAGATTCTGTCTGCCGCGAATGTGTATTACTTTATCCAAATTGTGGTAAGACAAATTAATAATACTATTTCAATTAATTAGCTAGTTTATGTATATGTACACTGTTCATCACATTTCTGTTTTGTGTTTTGTCAAATTGAGACGAGCTTAACCCTCAATAAGCGTGGCCTTATCGCCCTTGCGCAGCACCAGCTCCAGCTGCGAGAGCAGCCCAATGGCACGAAAATTCTCCTTGAAGAGAACGAAATCCTCTAATGGCTTTAAATACTCCAGCGCCTGCGTGTAGCTATCGAGTTCCTTGAGTACATTGGCCAGGGCGCTCGAATCCGGCGGCTCCGGTGTGGTGTGTCCATTTGTTTGACTCCCGGAGCTGCTGGCGCTGCCGCCCTTCTTCTGTGGCGAGGCTGGTGCGGATGGTGGTGCTGCTGCTGCTGTTGCGGGCGGGCTGCTGCCTGTGATGGAACGCACAGGTGTGGACTTGCCACTGTTGCTGTCGGTCGTCGTCTTGGGCGCATTCTCTTTGCTGCTAGCGCTGTCACGTCCGCTGTTGTTGTTCTGCTCCTTGGGACTAGGACTCCGCTGGTCCAGCTGCGTGGCCGCCGTGGATTCGGCCAATGGCAATGGAGAGCCACGTGCGGCCGCAGAGGCATTTATTTCTTGTACTTCCTCATCGGCCGGTGACTCCAGTTTCGGTCGCTTGGCCAGCTGCACTGGCTGAAAGGGGCTGACACGCTGCTGGGACTGGTTTGGCGGTAGTTGTGGCTGGAACGGTTCTCGCTGTGACTGCGGTGGCGTCAGCGCCGCACCTGGCGTGGGTACCACATGCGGCGGTGGGAACTGGGCTTGCAGTTGTTGTTGCTGGTGCTGCTGCATCTGCTGTTGCAGCTGTTGCTGATGGCGCTCGAAGTAGTAGTCGTTGAAGCTAAAGCCGGGATGCGGATGTGGGTGACCGTGTGGATGGCCCGGGAAAGGCGGCCACGCTTGATTTAACTGATGTTGTTGCTGCTGTTGTTGTTGTTGTTGATGCTGCAGGTGCTGCTGCTGAAGCGCATAATGCTGCTGCTGCTGCTGCTCCTGGTAGCTCTGATCTTTGATGTCCATGCTGTCGTCGTCCTCCTCGTATTCCCCATACTGTTGCATGTAGTTCATGTACTGCTCCGGCATTTCCTCCAGCTTGGCCACACGCTCCGCGCTGGCCGGCGGAAAAAGATGCTGCAGGTCCTGTACAATGTCCGGTATCCACAGAGATGTGCCCATGGGCTTTAGCTGATTGGTGGCCAGCTTCTGTGCGAAGCCCTGCAAATGTGTCTCGCGAAACCGATTCAGCCAGCGATTGTCCGCTATGAAGGATGTGCTGCCGATTACCTGGCGTGCATTTTCCGCCTTATCCTTGATCATGCCGTGGGTAATGCTGCCGCGCAGCTGAGGATTGATATTGGCGCGCACCAGCCACTCGTAGACAACGGCATTGATGTAGGCGCACTTGCGACTGCGCTCGATCTCCTCCACCATGGCCTGCTGCTCCACGGCCTCCAGATTGGAGGGCACCTCCAGCCGTAGCGTGGGCAAAGCATTCGACTGCAGTCGTCGTCCACCCAGCACACTGGGATCAAAATGCAGGGCGCACACGACCGGCTTCTTGAATGGGATGATGCGTCGCAATGAGGCGTGGCACGCCTCTTTCCAGAGCTTGTGAAAGGGATTGTCCGGCCTGGGAAAGGCGAAGAACTGCATGCTCGGATGCTGCCGCGAATTCGACAAGCATCCGATGATGCAGCATCGCCGGATAGTCGGCATAACGGGTATACTGTTTACGCCCCGAATTGTAAATGAAGTCGTTTTGGCGTTGCAAATGCCCGCCAATACCAATCAGAACATAAAAATATCAATGCACAGCTGCAAATAGAAGATAAATCGCATATGTTAACTCTCGGTATTCCAATTAGCTGGCTCCATACTCCATGCATGCACATACGCCAAACGCCAAACTCCTGCGAAAACACAAATTCCGATCTATTCTTCTTCTATCCTCTTTCCTGCTCTTTCGTTGACTATTGCGTTGCCGTTGCTTTGAATTTCGCCGCGTTTTTTTTTTGCACACGATCTGGCAACACTTTCAGTTAAAGACGCGCTCAATTTTCACGTTGCAAATTTTAACAATTTCGTGCGCAATCGTAAACAATTTAATAATTATAAATGGCACAACTCGATCTATAGCTCTTTAAGGAAAGTTTATTTACTGCAAGACAACATTATACATACATATGTATATAGTATACGTACATGTAAGTATGTATATTCGCACTATTAAACTAAATACGCACATACACACATACATATATAAATGTTGGGGAGCTACGACTTGCGAAAAGTGCAATCAACTTAAAGCTTAGGAATTGCCAGGCATCCCTTCAGAAAGTTAAAAACTTTTGAAATAAAGTTGTTCAATAAAAGTTTTTGTGCTTAATCAACATCAAAAACTAAGAAACTTTAGTTTGTGCCAAGCTCCCTTTAGTTATACCCTGGGGAGAACGCGTTGCCAACCAAAAAAAATAATATAAAAACTGTAATTTGGCGGCAAAATAATATTAGCGAATCGAAAAACAATAATGATTGTATCTCCTTATAAAGTCGGCGAATTAAATTATAGTTTCTGTATGACTCAACTGGGATCACACACTAAAACAAAAACAACCACAAAATTGTATTGAAATCTATGAGCAAGCGCTTAGACAACCAGATTTTATAGGGTCCGACACATGACGCATATATTGTACGAGTATATATATGTATATATCTAGGTTCTGCAATGCATATGACTGTATTTATAATTTGACCTCGGGGTTTGGAAAAATACCATCTGCACGCACACACAGCCACACGAAAGATACACACGCACACACGCGCGTGTGTGTTTGTGTGGAAATGCGTGTGATAGGTACTTCAGAAAGTTTGAATATATAAGAGCAATACGAGAGCGTCATGTCTGCTATAAGACAGAGATATGAGCGCACCATTAAAAACATCTTACACACACACACACACACACACACACACACACACATACAGATGCAGGCATAAAACTGTTGATAAATTTGAAGCGCTGCTCAGCCAACGATGCGTACGCCTTCAGAAATCGATACGTTTTCCAGTCCCAGTCGCAGCCCCCAAAACCAGAACCAGTCGGACGTCGAACGCTCCATTATGGGAGCACCCAAGCGCCCATACCCATATCGGAGAGCTCACACACACACACACACACACACAAACACAGATACAAACACACACACACACACACACTGATATAGCTACAGATATAAATACGAAGATAGCTGCTGCTGTTGCTGCTGCTTGTGGTGCTGCCGCCGCTAGCAACAGCAGCACTTGACTAAAGTGTACGACTTGGACGGGCCTCCGCCTCCTCCAAGATTGTGGATAATACTCTGCTGAGTCAGATACATACATAGCCGTGATGCCCCCGAATAACAACCCACCTGCTTGAGTCAGAGAGCCGGTCTTTTGGGATGACTTAATACATAAAGCAATGTCCGTTTTCTCTTGAAAAATCGGTCGCAAGATTTGCTATTCGAATCGAATCGAATCGCGTCGGAGTCGAGTCGAGTTTCCGTTTCTGTTTCGGGTTTGCTTCGTTTACCCTCCTCCCCCCTCTTAACACACACACACAAACACACAGAGCAGGTCATTAGCTGCTGCTGGGCTGGATTTACGGAATTGGGTTTTATCTTTCAGTTTGCTGCGTCAGCTAGCTTAGGGGTGGTTCACTGTCGCAGCTGTTCAGTTCGCTTTGGCGTGAACTTTTTGTGTGCCGGAAACTTAGTTGGCAGCAAAGTTTCATAGCCCAAAACCCTTCCACAACGCATCTTCAAGATACTCGCAGCCCGCGCGCACCTTGACACAAAACGAGCGAAGCGATTGTGCTTCGTCTATGCTTCGTGTGCAAACAGACACACACACCAACACACACACACACTCACTTACACAACTGACTGTGAGACACACACACACATACATATATACTTGTAGTCGAGTGCACTACACCATCAATTCCAATTCAAATCTCCCCTGACTGACTTGCTTTATAAATGGTTTTATATTTCCTTTTATGTCGTCGCTGAGCTATATACACTGCTCGAGCTCTCGAGCTCTCGAGCTGTGGATGTTTTGTGATGTACGAATACATATATTCCTCTGCCCTGCTCCGACCCTGGCTCTGGCTCTGGCTCTGGCTGTGGCTCTGCTTTCGCCCTGCTCAGCTCAGTTGAGCTCATCTCATCTCCGCTGCGTTTGCTGGCCTGCCTGCTATTCTTTCCCTTATATCGATTGGCACTTTATCTTAATCGCCTTGAGACATCGTCCCTGTTCCGCGCCCTAAATCCTCTTCGCTCACCCTAAATAATGGTTGCCTACTGCCGCTGCTGTTGCTGATGCTGCTGCGAGGCTGCCTTGGGGATTGGAACTTCGTGAAATTTCGTGCAACATCATCATCATTATCATCATCGGATGCTTGCCTCGAGCCTCAGCTATAGCTACGGCTACGGCTCTTTCGGGTTGATTCTTTTGCCCATTGGGTTCCCCTTTGTTGCTACATATCTTTTGTATCTCGGTATCTCAGTATCGCTGTATCTCTGTACCTTTTGTATATCCACATCCTATGCCCAGCTATTGCCCATTGTTTAACCAGTTCTTATATTCCGTCATACGTTTTACCTACTGCTCGCTTTGCCTTTTATGCTTCAAGTATTCGTAGCATTAACATTCTAAATTCAGTTCCAGTTCCAGTTAAGTTTTGTTCATTTTTTTTC